TAAGAAGTAATATATGTTAAATTAATGATATGTTAATGTAACAGGATGCTTAAATACGAGTACAATATTAGGAAAAGAAAACATTGGGTACATTCGTTCTTCTGTGACAGTTTAAACTGAGGTGCTTATATTGTTTAGAAAGGACTTAACCTGGATCCAGACTCCTTCGTCTCATGAGAAATTCTTTCCCAAGCCAAACTATTTTGTCCTGCCTAGCGCAGTCTGGGTGGCGTTCGTCACATATGCCAGGCTCATGCTCAATTAACTGCACAAAAACAAAATTACCAGCTTCGTCAACCTGTCGTGCCATCTTAAGAAATAAATGAATCACTGAAGCGCGTTATAAAATAGCTGACATTAGGAAACCACGCGGCAACGCAATCGTGAGAAGACTGACATGCTCCGTTGCCTGAAAGTTGAGTTTCTGAGCCTTCCGCCGAGTTGCGTTGCCGTTTCCTCAATTTGCGCTGCTCCGTTCAGTTTCATGTGTTCAACTCAGGCTGATAACAATTCTCGGAAATTGCGGTTGCGTTGCGGTTGCCAGTTTCCTTGGTGTGCCCTCGGCCTTACAGTTTCAAAGCAACGCACACTGACTATCAGTGTGAATGCTGACCTTTGCATCAAGGCTAGCTATGCATTCATATTCCACGTGTTCTGAATCTCTCAGCATCTGAAACCTAAAAGTCCCGCAAATAGCCTTAGCATTTGCACTTGCTGTTTCTGTTTCTAATTTAAATAATTATAAATTCACATATATGTACGCCCCTAACCTACCAAACTACTGAGCAGGTTGGCATAGCGGTAAAGCTCTAGACTTATATTTGGGAGATGTACGGTTCGAATCTTGGCCGATATAATCGATATTTTGACTAGCATTATCGTGGTTTTCTTAAGTTCTTCCAGGTACATGCCGGCATGGTACAGTGAGTAAACGTCAAGAACCGCCGAATGGATTTTTTTATGAAATTTGATGTCATATTTTTATTTTACTAATATTTGTTGGCATATTTCAGTTTATGTTAAGTGGTACACGCGTTTATGCGCGCATCTTGAGCATGGGTCGGTATATGCTCGTACATTATCGGGGCGGAAAATGTTTCGGGAGCACATGATGAGAAAAATGAGACATTGTTTTTATATCTGACTAATTTTTTTCTGCAAGTCCTGCAGTTTTTGAGACAATTAACTAAAATTGATTGAATATACGAGAATTGTTACCAAATGGGCACATTTCACACCTAATGCACACGGATAGTAAACAAGTACATGTGGCCTATGTAAGCCAGGCACACAGATTTTGGAGGCAGAGACTCGAAACAGACGGACTGTAGTACATGGCTGACTCACTTTATGTGGGGGAGTCCCAGGGAAGCTGAGAGTTGCCCACTTGGTCACTAACATTGCCCTCAAGGGCCGCGCCATAGCTCAAGCGGCTAGTCGCTGGCTTCCCACCGCGGCGGCCCGGGTTCGGTCAAGTGGGATTTGTGGTGGACAAAGTGGCGCTGGGGCAGGTTTTCTCCTAGTACTTTGGTTTCCCCGGTTGAGGGGCTATGCTACAAGCCGGAAGGTCGCGGGTTCAAGTCCCGATGAGGTCATTGGATTTTTTTTTTCAGTTGACCTAATCCTTCCAGCCGCACAAGGCCCTGGGGTTTACTCAGCCTCTAACAGAAATGAGTATCAGGAATTAATTAAATAATTTTCCTGGGGAGTAAAGCGCGGCCGGCTCGTAAGGCTGACAACCCTATGGTCCTTCACGGCCTGGTACAGGGATAGCTTTACTTTTTTTTACTTCGGTTTCCCCTGCCAATCTTCATTCCACCAATTGCTCCACAATCACCCTCACCTATCATCTGGGGCTGGTACAATAGGCCAGAAGTGGCCGCAGTACAAGGGACTCAGTCCAACCCTACTAGCAATAATAAAAACATTGCCCTCATTTTCTGCAACCCGTATGTTCGTTACCGAGTTCACAAGAGCCTGTCTCGGGCCACAAGACCCCACATCCTTGTGCAGCATTCCTATTGGTTTGTGCTTCCAGAGCGGCTTTTCTCTTTTTTCTGACTTGACATTTACACGAATTCTTCATCCCTAAATGCGTGTTGCATGTGCCGCCCATCTGTCCCTACGTAGGCTAATGTTATCATGTGAAAAGTACAAACCGTGGACTTCTGCGTCATCCTGTCGTATGTTGTTTTTCCCTCAAACATTGAAGGCAGTAGGGTTAAGAAAATGGCGGACCTGTCCATAAGGCTCATTTTTCCACGTGTGTTTGGGGCACTTATTACGATACACTGATTTAAAGCCACTCGTGTGGACAATGGTTCGCTAAATTGCTTCACAAACGCTAGTGGGAAAGAAACCGAGCAATGGAGACACAAGTGTGTGGCAGATGAGCGGAGAATGTTATGCCATCTATTATCAAATGTTTGAATTACATGGAATACACGACCGGCCTCTGTGCATAGGTCAGATAATATCATGGCAGGCCTAGCGGGAACTATCTCATTGGCTATACAGTGTAGAAAGATACCCGTCATTAAGAATGATGGATGGATTGTGAATGTGGAAATACGTGTCGTAGCCCACTTTAAGGAATTATCCTGTCATATTATTGGGGAAACTGAAAGAACAAATTCATCTTACTGCTGTAAAAGGTGTGTTTATGATATCAGAACTATGCGGTATTTGAGTATTTGTTTTTATCAGGTACTTAGTTCGAATCTTGCCTGGTGATGTCTGTCCTTACTGAGTTTTTGTCAGTCACATCAGAAAGTGTCGCGAGTTAGTATGTTTTTACATAGTTGAGAAGATAGCAAGAAAACCATGGGTTACACAGGAGATGATGAGTAAAATGGAGGAGCGAAGGAAATGGAAGAATGTCAACAATGAAGAAGGCAGGAGGAAATACAGGAGACTGAGGAATGAATTGAAAAGAGCCACGGACAGGGCCAAAAAGGAATATCTTGAGAAGATATGTAATGAGATTATGGAATTTCAAAGAACAGGCCGTTATGATTTGATGTACATGAAGACAAAAGAACTAG